CAGGGTAGAGGGGAGGCGGGCATGGCGCCGGCGAAGGCGGGCTGCTCTCATTGGCATCGCTTTCCCCAGCCGCCTTTCCCCTCACTGCAGCCCGGCCCGGTGGGAGGCCGAGGGCCCAGGTGTGTGAGGCAGCGGGAGGAGCTGCGCGGGGGCGCTGAGGGGAAGGAAGGAGAGAAGTGGTGCAGCTGCGTGAGGGCAGCGGGGCTCCTGTATTTGGGAGTGATAAGGGCGGTTGGGGAGGTTAATGAGCCTCTGGTGTTGAGGGGGAGGGGCTGGAGAAGTGAGAGCTTAGAGCAGTTTAGGGGAAAAAAAAAAAAAGTGATAAGTATGGGAGGATAGTAGAGAGGTGTGAGGGCTGAAGGGGACAGAGGCTGCCACTGGCAAAAAGCAGAGCCAGGCTTCTCTGGAGAGCAGGAGTCTTTAGCAGAGATCCATGTTCTGAAGACCTCCTTCACTCCCTTCTGTGGGTGAGATCTGGAGGGGGAAGTAGAGGCAGTTTAGGGTGTGTTGCTCCAGGGGTCTGACTGTGGGTTGCTGCAGCAGCACAGTGTGGAAGTGAGTCAAAGGTGAACCCTAGAGTGAAGCAGGGAAAAGTCAAAGCAAGTCTTGGGGTTTTGTTTTCTGCTACCTTGGCTACCTTGGAACTGGTTTAAGGTTTCAGTCCTCCGGCCTGGTTTCCTCCCATCTCCTTATTCCTTGTTCTTCATCTGCAACTTGTAGGGCAGAGTTGTTCTGTTGCCTATGTTACAGGTACAGAGCCAATTTCTATAGTTACTCCAGTTTACATTAGCAACTGCTCTATGTAGCAATAGATATTAATAAAAAATCCTTAAAAAAAGAAATCTAGTCTTATCTCTCTGTGAATAACAGATAAAGGTAGTTTGAATTTTTCCCTTGCTTTCTTGACTCTCCATTTCCTTTACAGACTGACTAAGACTCTTCTCTCTGACTGAAGAATCCTTGCTGGGTGTTGTGTCTCAATTACAAGCTGATAAGGATGTCTTGACTAGTTCCTGTCTGGAGTGGAGAGGAGAAGGTAAAAAATAGAACTTCTGTGTAGTGCTGGTTTCAGCTTGATAGTTCTGGTGTCTGAAATTTTTTGTAAGGTCACGAGTCCAGAAGGTACACAGACTTATGTCTAACTTGAAACATATATAGAGAAGCTTTTATTTCACCAAACTCCCTAAGCTTTCCACAGTTAAACACATTTTTAAGTACTTGGACAAAAAACAGTGAAAGTATTCAGGTAATGCACTGCTAATATGGAGCCTATGGAGATGTTGCCTGTGGAGCTGAGAAGGTAGATTGGTTCCTATTGCCATCTACTCCCTGGATTTTCTGCTGTGATTCTAATTATGATAGTGGGATGCCATTTTTGATCTGTTTGTCTAAGGACCTGAAGTCTACTTGTTCCCATCAAATTCAGAAGCAGGTCTGTCACTGAGTTAAGTGATTAAAGGATTGGGCCCTGTTTTTTGTAACCCTGTTTCTCTCGTCTCTGCCCCCCACCCCCTGAAAGGCACTCTTTAAAGCACAAAACTGACTAAAGATGCAGTTTCTCTAGAATCAAATAGAATCAGTGAATTTCTCAAGCTCATCTTTTGAAGTGGATTTTTCTTTTTTTTCTCTTATTTCCTGCCACAACCTCAGCCTTACTTCAATACAGTGGAAGTACAGCTGACTAGCTGGGGATGGTTCAGAGAAATAAATGTGTATGTTTAATTATATTTAATTGTTACCTTATCAATAGACTGATAAACTTAGGTTATTGCTATTGCCATTGATCATGATGTTCTGTGGCAGACAGAGGCGGTAACTGCTGCTGATGGAAAAGAAAAGGTAGTGGAAGGAGGAGGGGAGAAGGAGGTGGGAGATAAGGTGTTGTTGGGGATTGGCTGGTTGTAATGTCAATCGCAGCTTTGGGCCCCAGCTCTTCCGCTGCTCTAGCTCTGGCTCTCCCTTGAACAGCTCCTAGAGAGAACAAGGCGTGCGGAGCTCAGATCACCAGCATCATGCTCCTTAGGCTTGGATCATAGATCCCCCTCTTTGAACATTAAAATAACTACTTCGTCTATCAGCGTCCCAGGCAGACCCAGAGAGAAAACACGCAAACAAAAGAGAAGAGAAAAAGGAGGAAGAGAAAAATCTGCAACCAAGGGGACTAAAGCAAAGAGAGAGAGTGTGCTTTGCTTGCCCAGCTGCGAAGTGGGAATTTAAAGAACTGCAGAGAGAAATCCCAGCTCTTCAGCACATATACATTGCAGACTTACAGATCCAGGTAGAAATGACATCAACAGGGAAAGAAGGCAGCGGAGCTCAACATGCACAATATGTTGGACCCTATCGTTTGGAGAAAACCCTAGGAAAAGGACAGACAGGTTGGTTCTTTTGCAGCAGCACCAGTGCTAGAGGGGAGGTGTTGGGGATGGGATATTTTAGGGTTCAGGTTTTCCCATTTGCTGTTTCAGTGGAGATAATATTTCTAAGGGATTTTTGCTTTTATTTCTAGCTTTCATTTTATTGTCTTTTAAAAAAAAAAAATGCTTTATGTTCATTACTCCTGCTAATGGGTGTTGTTCTGATGACAGCCAAAGTGTATGCAGAGGAAAAAATAGATGATCTGGTGGTGGTGAATATCACATCAATTTCTTCACTGCCCTACTTAGTCTTTTCTTTTTAATCAAATTACATTGAAATGAAAGGTTCACAGCCTGTAGTACAGAGGAGGTGGTGGTGGTAGTGGGGGAGTCACCAGCAGTATTTCATGACATCATGATTGAAAAGGGTGTAGTCCTTAAGGTGCAATTGGTATGTATGTGGGGAAATATGTACAGTATGTCTGTGGCACTGACTCCTGTGGGTATTTAGAAAATATGGATGGATGGGCTGTTTTTTTATGGGTAGGGTCTGAAATAGAAAGGATCAGTAGCAGAATTCATTCTGGGAATCCTATGTTTTTTGTAGGAGGGATTGAGGGGGAGGGGAGGTTTTAAAATTATTTTTCTTAAAGCTTGTTCATGAAACTTGCCCCCAGCAGATTTTCCTGAATGGAATAATGGTAAGAAATATTAAAAAGAGGAAGCAGTGTGGTGAATTAGCAGAGAGCAGGTGCTTTTGCCCTACATGACATAATTAGATCCGCTAAATGCATTCAAGATCTGGACTGGCTGTTGCTTGCATAGACAGCATATTCACTTCAAGGGCAGGGGAGCATTAATTGAAACAAAAAGGAGCTTAAATGTCTTTCCTATTTAGTTTTTTTTTTCCCCCCCCTTTTTTCCTCTCAGAGTAACAGGTGCAATAAGCAATGGGATTTGGCAAATGCATTGGTTTGGGAGACATTTCCCCCCCCCCCCCCCCGGGGAGTTGGACACACAATATTATTTTAGGGAGAGGGAAAGATCAGCCATAGGGGGCTGCTTTGGGCATGTGGGTGTTAAGTGTTGTTCATTATGGTGGGACAATAAAACATGATGCATTGTCTTGTGTGGATTTTTTTTTTTAAACCCGGCCGAGCTTTGCCCATCTGTTGTCTAAAGGATTTAATAGGCGTTTCCATCCCCAGCTGCTGCCTCTGCTCTGCCTGCTTCCTCACTGCCCTGTGTGGCAGCAGCTCTGCAGTCCGCAATTTTCTTAGGGACACAGTCAAAATCCAGATCTTTCTCTGTAAGAAGCAATGCTCTTCTGAGATGATTGATTATTACCCCCCCATCCTTCCCTCCTCTCCATGAACCCCATAGCAACCGTTCACAACATGGATGAAGATGACATTGTCTTCTAGTGAAAGTGACTTTTATTTAATTTTATTTTTTCTGAATCTTTTCACTGCTAAATGTAGCTATCTGTCACTCTTGGACACCACCTTTATTCTTTGCGTAGCTCAATAAGCCCTTACTTGTGCAGCTGTATTCTTAGTAAAATCTGTTCTGATGAAAATGAAAATCCTCTGCCAAAAAAATGCGGTGTATTGGTAATAAAACTGTCCTATTTCTGCATTTAATCTTTTCCTGGATATTCCAAGTGATCAGAGAGCCAGCTCTAGATGACAAATTCATTTTTGTCTTCATCACTATTTCCTTCTCTCTCTCACCTTCTCGGCACCCTTCCCTCCCCTTTAAAATACAATTGTGTCTGAGATTCCTGAAAATACAGCTGCATCAACCTTTTGCTCCAAATCATGTAGCCTGACGTTGTGATCCTGAAGGGTTATCTGCAGCTTTGGTTATTTTTTTCCCCATGCTAATCTTCCTATCTTCCTCTGAAGTGATTAGAGAGCTGGGGGTGGAGGGAGAAGGAAAGAATGTATTTAGAGGCTTGCTGCTGTTGGCCTCTGCAGTTATTCAAACAGCTGGACAAGGGTGAAAGTTTTCTCTTACATTTTTTACCATGTAACAGATCTTTATAGGTAAATCTATTTGCACACATGAGTGCACATAAATGCACAATGCAATGGTGTCATAGAAGCTGGGGGTGGGGGAGAAGAGGAAGAGAAAGCTTAAAAGTAGCTGATGTCAGCCTCTCTTCCTTGATATACCCGCCCTTGATCAACTGAATAATGCACCGAGGTGAAATCTAACTTGATATTAAACATACGTGGCTAAATAAGGAAAAGATGCCTTCTGGTCTTCTGGCATTTTCTGTGCTAATCACATTTGGGAGCATGCAGAATGATCTGAAGAGTGTGTATATGGTATGTAGCTAGTCCTCATCCTGCTTGTTTTGGAGGATAAGCGAGGAATCTGCAGTGTTTTAGGGAGAGGACAACAAGCGCAGTGTGAGAGCCTGATTCACCATACTATGTTGTCGTGGTGTGTAACTTTGAATTTGGGTTGCAATTGCATACAGTTGAAGAAAAATAGTGGTTCATTCTTTTCGGCTTGAGTATAAAGCTTGAAAGGTTAGGAGATGATGGCTTGCATTTTTTTTTTCTTGTTTTTAAGGAGGACAGAGAAAGAGGGTGGAATAATATCTGGAAAACTGTAATGGTGAACAGAAGGAAAGTGCAAAGTCCTGTCCATTTTGCAGTAATCTTACTATCTATCATTTTTACTTGAAGTAAAGAATTCTCATCTCTAAAGTTATTTCAGATAAGCAGTTCTTGCTTTGCTCCCAGGTATATTAATAATTATACAATTCAGTTAATTACACTTACCTGCTCTTCACTGGGATCAAAAGAAGAGGGCTTGAGGAAGGAAGATGGGTTCACAGTTCGACACAGCCTTAGAAAGAGTGCCACAGAAGGGGAATTTAATGGTAAGTAGAACTCTGGTTTGTTGCTCTTCATGAAGCTCTCACTGATTTCCTTATAAATAGCTGAAAAAAGTATTTACCAGCAGGAGCCTACTGGTCCTTGGAAAGACGTCTAGATGCTGTGTCTGTGACAGTAGCGGAAGCTGGTGACATCTGGCTGTGGGTGGACAAAACTAACATGTAAAAGCCTTCAGTTCAAATTGGTGGGTAACAACTGTTACTGAAGGTGTTAGTTATAATCCAAAATAGAGTATACAAAGCTTGTCCTGAAAGCAGTCTTCTATGCCAGTGCATCAAACTTGCCGAGTAACTGATGCCACAAAGAGAGGATTAGGGCCTCTTAGCCAGAGAAGTCAGAAAAGGGCTACGTAGGGCAGTGCTGAAAAATGTGTGTGCTTAGGTCTCTGCTGATAGTGGGAGTGATGTAGAAGCTAAGGACAATTATTTTGAATAATGCAACAGAAGAATTTAACATGTATGATTTGAGTAGAGTACACTAGTAAGACAGTTGCCCGTTTGCTTTTGTAATAGGCTGAATTCAGAGCATCTCCCTTGTTTTGTGCTACTGAATGAATAGCTTGTGGAATCTTTATTTGCATGGTTTTACAGGAATACAAGCACTAGCATAATCTTAATTATTGTGCTCACAACATTTTATTATACAGAAATGTCAGTGTAAAAGAGACTATTATATATACATGGGTGTGTGGGGACAGGTTGGTTTATGTAAATTTCAATGAATTACATTGTACTACTGTTAATTATAGGAGGTTTTCATTGTTGTTAACAGTAACGAGCAAAAGGATGTGTGTTGTGTTAGAATAACACATGTGGAAACAGTATTCCTTTAGAAAAAACTCGATCATGTGAATATGAAGTACAGTTTTAGATTCTTATTTACATTAAACAGAGGCACTTCTTCGTTTGCCACTAATTCTATGTGAAGTCAATTTTTTGTGTGTTTCTCTCTCTTCCTTTAAAAAGTTCATATCTGTCTTTTGGTTTCATTAACGCCTATTTTGCTGTTGAAACACTCTAATGTAGATTTACTGTAGTGAATATTTATTAATGAATGCAAAGGTGAGGAATTGAAGCACCTCTTTTGAAGTGCGTCAGCATTTCAGAGAGTTTTCCTGTGTTCTGGTTTGAAGATCACTTAGTCTTCAGCGTCGGTTTGCCATGGCACTAAATGGATGCCCCATTGAAATTTCAGAAATGCTATTTTGTCTACAAGTAATGAAGCAGTATCTGTAAGTGAGAGTTATCCTCCTCACTTTGAGAGAAACTTGATGAAAAATTTAATGTTGCTGATCCATTTTGTCTTGTTCCTTCCATTCCATTTTAAGTCCTGTTCTGCAGGCGTTCAATACAAACTATTCTACTTGAAACTCATGGCAGTTCTAGCAATGGAAAAAGTGTGGGGGTCCCTTTCCTGCATTCTACACTATGTAACTTAGAGCTCTTCCTGTGTGTACCAAGTTATCTACAGAAGCCATCAGTAAGGTGTTTAGCAGTATGCTATTGGATTGCGTAAGAAGAGAAATTGTTGAATTTGGGGTCTTGGTGAACTTATTAGCCTTTTATTCAGTGGGAGCTTGAGCAGGATGTTATCTTTACAGCCTAACCACCTGTTTCCATGACACTGGCAGAAACTGTCATGATAGTCTGTGAGGACTTAAGTGGTTAATAATCACAGAAATACAATATTGCAAACAGTATTGTTGGCAGTAGAGGTCTTGAGAAAAACTCTTTTTAACAAAATGTTGCCTAGTATGCTATAGCAAGTTAGATTTATTGAATCTTAAAGTAAGGGTCGTTAAGTTCGGAGGAACTTAGTCTTTGACTTTAGATACCTTTAGCCTGATTGTTCAAAAGTACTGTTTGTCAGCATCTCTGATAACTAGTGCTACCAGACCTCAAAATCAGACTGCCAAACTCAGATTCCCCTTTTATATGGCTTTTACTTCTTAGTTGGCAAACAGGAGTTTGCTACTATAGGGAAAATAACTTTTGGCCTTCACTCTTCTGTGAACTCTGTACAGGCGGTTTTTTATCCCAAACTTGTTGAAACAGGAGCAGGCTTTTAGATTTTTCTTTTAAAGCACAGTGAGTTTCTCATCTAAGAACT